GGTCCATACGTCTTCGAAGAGGTCACTTCCACAGGTATGAAAACCTGCTCCACCCCAAGTAATTAGGATACAACAATATTCCAGAATTAAGCAAGTCCCGAATTGCAGCAGCGATATTTTTTAATAACATTGTATGTATGTGTGGTGTATGTACGATTGTATGCATGTGTGGCAACATGTGGTGCTCCCCCACATGTTGGCACACGTATTCGGCAAGTGTTGCAACAGCACTTTGGAGATAGTCATTTCCCGTAACTTTGCAGTTTTGTGGCTACTGTAATCCCCCGGCATCACTCCGATGGACTTTTGGTTCTGCGATATCTGAAATCTAAGGTGTATCGATCAAATCCACGACATTTGTCAGAATTGAAACGTGAAGTTGTAGATTTCTCCTCGGGTGTTATGTTCATCATTGTTGTCAACAATCTTCCGCGTGTGGTACGTTATCGTCTGCGAAGGTGGGCACGTTGAAAACTTGTAATTCTAATAAATGATTTTTTCTGTCTCTTCTCTTGTGCTTTTCAGCATGCCTTTGTGGTGTAACGGTAGTACACTCGACGCGTATTCGAGATGTCCAGGTTTGAGTCCTAGCGAGGTTATTGCACGTTTTTCATGTCTCCTGCTTCAAAATAATCTAATGACTCTACAGTGGCACCCGAACTAAAAGGTGGTAGACTAATTCGTCACCACCAGGATTTGGCAATTGTGTCCCCTAATCCCTAGTCGCCCTTTAAAAGAGGTACAAAAGAGATCCCTAATCGCCCTTTAAAAGAGGTATAAAGAGCATTTAAAAGAGATATATATAATGTATTTTTCTCCCTCCTTCCAACTTGTCTTCAGTGTGTAATGGTAGCACACTTGACGCGTATTCGAGAGGTCTGGGGTTCGAGTCCCGACGAGGATTGCACATTTTTCATCTTCCCTGCTTTAAAATAACCTAATGGCTGTACAAGAAATATACACTAAGAGCAAAACATTATGACTACCTACTGAGTAACGTGTTGTGTGACCTTTGGCCTACAAAACAGCTGAAACTTGCCTTAGCATAGATGTCAAGAGTTTTTGGTCGATAACTGGAGACAGGTTATATTAAATGTATAACGAGCAGTCACGTGAAGTCAAGATATTCTTACATGGTAGTGTTTGAGCTCTGAGCTGCCGCTCCATAAAATCCCAAAAGTGCTCTATCAGGTAAAGATCCACCGAGTTATGTGGACAGGACATTAATTGGAATTATGCCCTTTGCTCCTCAAACCACTCCAATTCGAGCCTTGTGACATGAGGCGTTGTCCTGCTAGAAGATTCCATTTCTGGTCAGGAAAACAGACGCCATGTAAGTGCAGTTTATCCAAATTATGTTCAGATAGTCCGCAGCTTTCATGTTCTGTTCTACCACAATTAAGGGTCCCAGAGCACCCATGAGAATGTCCCCCAAAGCATAATACAGCCATCACCAACCTGCGTGTGACCTGCTGTACAGAGAACAACTTTTCGCCTGAAAAATGGCGTACCCTGACACGACCATTGACGTGATGAATCGTGATTCGTCTGACCAAGCAACTGTCTTCCACTTATCCGTGGTCCAGTCTCGATGTTCTCATGCCGACTTTAGGCGTAGTTAACAGCGACGCTTCGTCGACAGAGACTCACGAGTCTGCGCAGTCCCGTATCGATCAGTGTCCACTGAACTGTGTGTTCCAAAACATTTGGACCTGCATAATTGGGCTGTCAGCTGAGCCACTGTCTGGCGCCGATTTTGCTATACCAAGTAGGACATTCTCCGACGTCCTTTTTCTTTGATGACGCGTGGACGTTCATCACCTTGGCTTCTGCTGCTAATTTCACTGTCAGTTATCCACTTTGAAAAATACTAACAAAAGCAGATCGTGAACAACTTACCAGTCGTGCAATTTCTGAGATACTCGTTTCGAGTCTTCGGGCCATTACAATCTGCCCTTTATGAAATTCACTTAGATCAGCAGCATTTCCCATCACTCGCAAAAGTAAGTGCAAAAATGGTTCCTTACAGTTTCAAGTTCCTCTTTTGCCATGATTATCAAGCAAAATGCATGATTTGTTCCGGCTGTCATCAGGTGATTGCACAAAGGGTGCAGAAGGTAGACTGAGTCCGAACCGTAGGTCCAAGAGGGCAGGAGCCAGGGCGTACCTAGAGGGGGCATCTGTCCCCGGGCGCAGAATCCAAGGGGCGCCAAACTGATGTTACGACATTTTAGAATTAAATGTTTTCCATCCTTGGTAAGCAGTAGGGGGCACGAAATCTTCAGTTGTCCCTGGGCACTGAAAACCCTAGCTACGACTCTGGCAGGAGCTGATGGTGAAAAGAGTGTGACAGCTTGTCACGTGAGCAGTAAGCAAGCATGGCGTTGGTAGCGGGATTCCCAGGAAACTTCCGCGAAAATAGCATATTTACAAAATTCAAAGCAAGTAATAATTAAAATAGGAGCAATTGACAATCTCGAGTGTTGTTTACAACTCTACAAATGCCAAAGTTCAACAGGAAAAATTAACAAGACATAATGATAGAGAGTCCGTGCGTGGTCGCTCACCCAAGTGAAGGCTCAGACGTATGCTGTTTAAGTTTTGTAACTTCGCAGGAAAATTACAGCTGTAGATTAGAGAAAAAAAAGTAATCTAAGTAATCATGATTTTTCTTTAATAAATATGCAGTGTAGGAACGTAGAAATCTGTCCTCATCTTAAATCTCATTATGGAACAGTTCAAAGTCCTTGAGATGATAGCAGTTAACTGCTTCATTAAAGAAATTGGTATTGATTTTTTGGATGAATTTATTCAGAGGATCAATTTTCAAATCATTATGCAACACTTGATTCCGAACAAAATAGTGGGCATTGGTGATGATTCTGAGGAATTTATTTAGCACTCTCTGAAGCTTTTGTATGTCCTTTATTGTTGCTGCGACCCAAGCAAAGTGCAGCATATGTCATTATCGGTCCTACTGTTGAAAGATATATCAGTCTCTTTTTCTGGAGGTTTGGTTATAATTCCGTACCTTCTCCAAGCTGCAGTTGAATACCATTCTCACTTAATCACGTGCCCTCCTCATCATCCAGACGAGTTCATTGAAAAATTCGGGGATGGTCATAATGGTTTGGCTCGTCAGTATATATATATATGCCATATCCCCCCTCTTTTTTAAACTAATTTTTATCATCTGAAAATGGAGAGTTGAAAATTATGCGAATAATTTAATTTCCGAAGGCTGCCATTACAATAAATACGTAACAAAGTAGTCATGAATAAACTACAGGTAACTATCACAATATTATTTCTTTAAAAGAAACCTACATTCCAACAAGAATATATAATAGCATTAACATTACAATATCTTATAAGATGTCTTCATTTCTAACTTCCCTGTATCGATATATAGGTAATATACAGTGTAAAGGTTGAACTACTCTAATTTAACTTTAGACACCTCACAAAAGCCGTAAGTGAACAATTTTGCCATACCAACTTTAAATATGCACATAAATTTAAAAAAAAAAAAAATGTTAATGGTGACGGTAAGGCAACAAGAATCAGCATAATATTCATAAATTTGTAGGACTAGTTTTGAAGGTCTCGCCCATTCGTATTGTTGTCATTGCTACTCCTTAGACCTCAGATCATCCACGAATAATTAGGAAAGGTGAAAGTGCAAATGAATGAAATCAAAGGAAAAGGTTCAGTATAACATTTAAAGGTAGTTTGCAAGGGTTTCTTGTTGCTAATAAGATGAAAACAATCACTACCTTGACGAAGCCATTTTTTTTTTTTTTTTTTTTAATTTAGAGGAGCTCATTCTCTGAATGCATTGAGAAAAGGGAAAATGACATGAATATTTTTTTAACTTTGAGAGCATTTTCGCTTTTCTGGAGTTTTGAAACATAACTTTTCGCAAAGGTACTTTTTACTTTCAGGGCAGCACTAATTGTAAAATCTCTAAAGTCAACAGGTGCTGCAGAATATGGAAAATCCTTTAGATGCAGGTTTTAGGTTTTAACTTCTTTCTATGTTTGATTTTATTTTGTATTATTTTATTGGTAACTTTTGCCTGGTTGCTAAGTTTATAAGAGTTTTAAGTTTAATTAAGCTTATATAGAGTTTAAAAAGAAGTTTTTCTTTATAATGTATACAGTCTGCAGTGAATCTATTCATTCTTTTTAGTTTCATAACTGAAACAAGTTTTAAGCTTTGAATTAAAATAATACGCTGAATAACGATTGTTGGAGATCGATAGATTTAGTAATTTGTTGTACTTCTGCTGAAAAAGGGGATCCTGTACTTAAACCTTCAAAACTAGTCCTACAGATTTATGAATATTATGCTGATTCTTGTTGCCTTACCGTCACCAATAATTTTTTTTTTTTTTTTTAATTTATGTGCATATTTAAAGTTGGTATGGCAAAATTGTTCACTTACGGCTTTTGTGAGGTGTCTAAAGTTAAATTAGAGTAGTTCAACCTTTACACTGTATATTACCTATATATCGATATATCTAAACTCATTCATTCAAAATTTCTGTTAATTTGTATAAAAAACTGAAGTGGCCAAAACATCAGCTATTAAAGAAGTTATAGCCATTCGAGAAGATTATCTAGTATCTATGACTTCAAATTAGCATAAGTCAGCATATATAGATGCTCATGTAAATACATACATACATATAATAGTCTACATATATACTGTGTATTAATTTATATATACATTTGCATTTACTTATGTTGTAAATTTTAACTGCCCGATTATAAGAATAAGCATTATATGTATGGATTTGCATCTTTATTTTTAAACTTTAAAATGAGAATAGGTTTGTGGTTAAAATGAGAATAGGTTTAAATTATTATATGTTTTGTTTTATAAAAAAGTGTTTTAAGTGAAATATGTTTTATAATGTGTGTAAATGCAGTATTTTATATTTTTAACTGTCCAAACCACAGCAAATAATAGGTTTTCTTCCTCCAATGTTTTGATAGGGATCTTGCTGTGGATATTCTTAATCTTTGCCCAGGAACTGAAATTGAAAAGATGCGTATTTGTGTAAATTGTTCCCTCTCCATGGCAGAAAGAGCTGATCTCTATAAAAAGGTTATTGTGCTTTTTATTTAATTGCCTGTATTGAATTTCATTGAAAGTCAGAAGTTTCATTATGGGTTCAATTTTTTAGTGATATTTAAAAAAGGGATTACTACAATGTGCTTCAGTTTTTGCTGTCACAGCAGGTCTGAAAAATGTCTCTACTTTGATTTGATGTATTAATAGTATTGCCTTTACATGCAAAAATTCATTTTAGTCAGTGATCCCTTGTGCATGTCATTCTTTGTATACTATCTAAAGCTACTGAAGAAATTTGCTTGATTTCTGTACTTATATAGAATTATAGAGGATTTTCCATGTAGAACATGTATTTTTGTTTATGAAGTAACATCATTTAATGTACAGTTCAGTATCGTTACTGAAAATTGGTAGAACTAAAAATATGTTGGTTATTTATTTCTATTCTAATGAAATGTCTGATTACTGTATTAGTAATATATTAATGTGGACATTATTTTCTATATGTTGAGACTTATATTTATCTTGCATCTGTAAAGTGAATCTGATATTCATCATGATTATGGCATTAATTTCATCACTGAAATATATGGAAAAGTTTGCAAAGCAGTTGTTAGTAAATCGTGAAATTTTGCTAAATTTTCACGGCCCCGTAGCCTTTGTGTGTACAGTTCTTGGGAGAAAAAAAAAAAAACAGTTCTTTTTAATTATGTAGTAATAATAGAAGCAATTTGTATGAATAAGTGAGTATTATTATAGGTTTTTTAATTAGTTAAATTTTGGTACTGTAATCATATCAGGACTGGTATTCCTCTTTACTTGCCTTGGAAACATGAACTGTCCTGACTCGAAACAGGGAGCTTACTAAAGCTATGTTCAATAAATTGTGAAGTAGACAATACACACAGGAAGGGTATACGAAACCCTTTATTTTTCTATCTTTACAGAGATTTCCGGACTTCGGAATACAGAGACCAACCACTTGTGGTCTGAACGTAAGAATATAAAAATATTAACTAAAACTCTAACTAAACTAACTTTGGATTAATATACAAGTGCCTACTTTAAGATTGGCCGTTAATTAACAAAAAGCCGTATGTAGTACAGAGAGCTGCTAAAACTACGATACGTTTAAAATTATCAAGAGGATTAAACCTCTGGCCTTGAAGGCAACCAGCAAACGAGTAAAACTACTATGGCAAACGGCCTGCTTCTAATAACACCTTCCTCTATCTTGCTTGGCAAAAAGCCACAACTTAAGTACTTGGCGTTAGCAAGACAAATTTGCATAAATAAGTAAAAGCTTTTAATTCTCGCCGGAAGTAGAAAATAAGAAGTGATAGTAAAGATTTAAAATAAAATAAACGTTAGTAAAACTTAGGATCCTTACATACTTCCCGCCAAAGTTAATTAGTTTGAAACTGAGGTCTAAAACGACCTTGTTGAAAACTTTTAGCTCTAGAATCTAACGTGAGGCCAATCTTTTACAAACATTTCTCTCTAGAAACTATAAATTAAAAAAGGGTCATTTTTACATTATCAACTCCACGGACAAGATTTTTCATCTGTACTGCATCTTCAAACAGGAGTTTCTTAGTTGAAATCTGGTTCCTTCCAGAGATCTGGAAGGAAAACTAGTTTAATGAAATGTTACACAATTAAATGGCAAGTAACATGAATACTTATATTTCTCTTTTAACATTCTTATTTCATTCATGACGTTATTTAATTATCTCCCGTGCTCTCTGACATGTGTTGTAAAGGAAAACACCAAACACGAGTGTGTCTATGTACAAGTGTTCAACACTACCGCCTGCAATCAAAACACTAACGTGTTAAAATTCAACATAACAAGACCTCAGAACACACCTTATATTCATCTCTAAACCCTGAGGTACTATTCTGAAAAGTGGCTAACTCTGAAGTGTAGCGTCAGAGAGCCTAACTACATTCATTCAACCTTTAACACATATTCACAATAATTTGCTCTTTTTACAGTCACACGAATAAGTAAAAAAAAATTTTTTTTTTTTGGCATTACTCTAATATTTTTACTTTTAACATATCACAGTATTTCTTAACTTTTAAAATAACAGTTCACATTGTATATAAGGACATATTAACATGCCGTTAATTTCACGCATTTTAAAACATACATTAGTAGTACATTGTTAACTTCTATTCTTTTCCAAGCAAGGTGCCAATTCTTCTACATTGAAATACTACATTTCAAAAGTCTTTCAGACTAAAACTTCTTTCTTGCCAGAATCTTTTAAATAAAATTTTATACAATAATTTTTACAATTTTCTTAAGGTACCTTTCTCAAAGATTATCAATGCTTTTACAATATTCAAGTATTTACACATTCCTATTATACATTAATTTTAGTTTTACTCGCGAGTAATTGAAAAACAATATCAAAATAGGTAACAACTCATTTCTCGCCTTTTTGCAATAATAGGCCTCACATAAGGTAAAACTTCTTGAATTCTGCCACTTGCAGTAAGAATGAAAAATTAACTTAAGGTTTCAAAGTAACATAAAGTTTTACTTATCTTTGTGATATTCAGACATCCTTTTTTCTGCCCAGTCCTGGAAAGTGGCGAAGACTACAGTCTGGTTGATCTTCCGTCTTGTACGGGTTCGCCCTTCGGTTCCTTCCTCCATGAGCTTTCTTTTTCCTTCCAGTTCGGTCACCCTTTGAAGACCTTCTTTTTAGCCTCTGCTGTGGTCGGCCGTTTGATGGCAGCTGGTCTTGGCGGAACCGGGACAACTGTCTCTCGTTCTTGCCTGGATCTCGTTGCTGGCTGTTCAAATTTTTCTTGCTTCTTTGCATCTGCAGCTGGTGTTCCTTCATCAATTCGTCGACATTTGCTGCGTAGACTCCTATCCGATGGGTAGATCTTCCTGTTTTGGAGCCGTGTTATAGTTGCTGTCATTTCTCCTGGCTCTCTTTGCATTCGTCGTACTTCTTCATTCTTCATTCTGGGGGTGGTCGTGCCCTCTCTTTTCTGGTCGGTGGAACGGCTTCTTTTTCTTGTTACCTTCAGTTTTCCAACGGGGGAACTTTCTTTTCAATTGCTCCTGCCTTCTAATGGCTTGCCCTTGTGATTGTCGTTGTTCCACCTCTGGAGCTTGTGCCTGCCGTGCCGGATCCTGCAAAAGATCTCGAAATATTGGCATTTTATTACGATTATAAAATGGTTTTATCTGGTCAACGTTTGCGGTGCAGGTTTCACCATTCCTGGCTTTTAACACCACTACAGCCTGAGTTATTTTTTCTATGACATATGGTCCTTCAAATCGTGGATAAAATTTGGCAGTTTTATCTTCTGGTGCTGAAGAAAGTGAATGCTTAATTTTTAACACTTCATCCCCTACTTTATAAGTTACTCCCCGTCGTTTCATATCGTAATAGAGCTTCTGTTTTCTTTGTGCTACTTCAGTGTTCTTTTTTGCTTCTTTAATTAATTTTTCTATATCGCCCATTTTAAATTCTGGGGCTCTTTGTTGAACATAAAATAATTTATCTAACGGCGTTATAATCTTTCTGCCTAAAAATAACTCAGCAGGAGTTTTGCCCGTCGTATCATGTTTTGCGGTCCTAAGGGCGAAAGCTAATTCATTGACATAGTTATCCCAGCTTTTATGAAAATTTTTAACATAACTACGGATAATTTTCACAATATTTCTATTGACCCGTTCCGCTATATTTGATTGCGGCCGATACGGGACCATTTTTAAATGACGTATGCCCAGTTTTTGGCACATGTCTTCAAATATATTACTTACAAATTGAGGACCATTATCCGATATAACTTTTAGGGGCGCCCCGTATTTTAAAATATATTTATTTAAAATAGAATCAGTAACTAATTTCGCGGAGGCTCGTTTTAAGGGAACAATTTCGGTCCACTTACTAAAATGATCAACCATAACAAGGAGATACCGACTTTTATTTAACTGACTTTTTGGGAAAGGGCCCAATAAATCGATGCCAATTATTTCATTTGGAAATTCCGATTTAATGCTATTTAGAAACCCGGCCGGGCGGAAATTAATATAATTAACTGCTTGACATGTTGGGCAGGACTGGACATACGCCCTTGTTAACTTTTGCAGCTCAGGAAAATAAACTGCTTCGCGTACGCGTTGGATGGTTTTTCGAATACCAGCATGAGAAGCTAAAGGGGAGTCGTGTAACTCCTGCAGTATATTTAATCTAAGACTAGCTGGGATAACAGGTCGAAATTCGTTGTTGGAATTCGTAGTTTTTGTATAAAATAATAGACCATCTATTAGTTCGTAATGGGCCGCCCTATTTCTTATCGCCACAATATCTTGGTGGCTAAAATTTTCAGGATCCTTTAAATACTCATAAATGTTTTTAAATTCAGGATCCTTACCCAGTTCGGTTATTACAGTTTCTCGGGAATGTATCGTACATGCTGTGAGCATTGCCACCTTTACAGTATTACCTTCTTCATCTATTTTTATTCTGGATAGGGCATCTGCTACGATATTTTCCTTTCCGGGGTGTGCTTAATTACCAGATTATATTCTTGTAACTTGAGTGCCCATCTTATTAACCTTGGGGATAAGTTTTTCCCTGAGTACAATCTAGTTACCGCCGCATGATCAGAATACACTGTTATTGGCGCCGTTCGAAAATAGACTCGGAACTTTTGCACTGCTAACAGAACTGCAAGTGCCTCTCTCTCAGTCGCGGAATAATTTCTTTCTGTTTGATTTAAAGTTCTACTAAAAAATGCCACGGGCTGCTGATTTTGCGAAAGTACCGCTCCCACCGCAAAATCCTGAAATTTCTAAATTTTCATCATTTTCAGGAAATTTCAAAACAGGGGTTGCGTTAATGCTTGCTTTAATTTTTCGAAAGCACTATTGGCTTCGGCCGTCCACGAGAATCTTGCCTTTTTCCTTTTTAGTTTTAACAATGGTTCAGCAATAGCTGCAAAATCTTTTATAAAGGACCTATAATATGAACAAAGTCCTAGAAAAGAAGAGAGCTTCT